TGCTTCGAATATTGTGTGTACTTTTTGTTTTATACAGTTGTCAGCCAGGCATCTAACTATGAAAAAATTACACTCCAAAAGACCCCGGGCTTCTGACAAAACAACCCGGGCTTAAGCCCAGTGAGCCACCCCCCCGCTCCGCCACTGCAGCCGACCACACAGCAAGAACGAACCATGGCTGTTGTGTGTGCCTTCGCTCCCTTTTCACTTGCGCTAGACCCCCAAAATGGCGAATCGGAGCCCAAAATAAGCACAAAATACTGTTGCTGACAATCTGACTGTCTGCCGTTTTTACACGCTTATATATGCGCAGTTACTGTCCCCCCAGAAAGACGGAGGCATCACAGTGAACTTCTCCATTCAACACTGACAGTCATTTGCATTTTGTTCATTCCTAAATTGTGAGTCTACACCAGCCAAAATACTGTTTTTGGTTATTAACATTTGAAATGATGAAGGCAGTTGAAAAACAACATTAGCTGCCTTTCCAGAAAAAAAACTTTTCAGAAGCACCGAAGGTTTGCATAAAACCCCGTTTACTCCCCTCCCAGGCTTCTAGATTTCTGATTGGCCAACATTTCTACACGGATTTGACATGTTCTTCACGTTTGACTGTTTTTTTGGCTTTTTACTTGTGGACGGAGATATCTTTCAAAACTGCACGTGCAGTTTTGTTTTTTAAAAACGAAAACGGAAAATCTCTGTTTTCAAAAATACCCGGGTACGTGTGGACATAGCCGTGAGTCAGGCTCCAGTGTTCTTGCGGTTTGTGGAGAAACGAAAGTGAAAGTAAGGTTTAGTCTGAAGTGTGTTCAAATGTCAGTGTGTGTCCGTGTGTGTGAGCGGACGGCAGAATGGAGGGATCCGAGTGTCCGCCTGTGACCGTGGAGGGGGACTGGACTCCGACTCAGACCAAAGCCCTGAAGAACAAACTACAGCTTTACTTCCAGAGCAAGAAGAAGTCGGGCGGAGGAGACTGCCGGGTCGAGGCGGAGGAGGGAGCCCCGAGGGCGGCCGTTTACTTCAGCTCACCGGAGGGTGAGTCTGCTTCGGCCCTCAGTGGCAGACTTTGATAGATCAGCACTGCCTGACAGCTGCGGTTCATTGTGGATGGAAGAAAAGAGGTCAGGCAGGCTTGTAAGTTTAACAAAGTGGGACAGTAAAGGAAAAAACCGCAGTGAAAGCTTTCAGTTTTCTTCAGCTCGCGGTTTTGTGTCTTTATCTTTAATATGGAGTTTGAACTTTAAAACTAAGCAAAAAAAAAAAGTTAATTGGTCAAAGACACCCTGCTGTCAGCTGATTTCCCAGCATGCTCTTCACCTGGTCAGTGCGACTCCTTCGTGTTACTGTTCAGTCACAGCAGTAAACAACTCTTCTGGTTTATGAAACATTAACCACAAACGTTAATATGGAGCAGAGAGCTTTTAAGTTCTTTAAAGTTTGGATAATTTTTATTTATTTTTTCACAAAGTAGTCTAAATCCAGTGCTGGAAAATCTACTTCAAACTTATTTTTCTTTTCTTTTCTTTTCTTTTTTAATTTCCTGTCATATATCGTCAGTTCCAATGTTGGAAGTTCATATAACAGTAATAATAATCCCTGCATAAAAATGTCAGGATTCAGACTGCTCAGGCTTTTTTTCATGTGCTCGTCTTAGATACAGAACAGAGTTACATTAAAGAGTGAAGAGCTCAGACAGCACTTTAGTTGAACTGAGGTTCTGCACCCAGGATAAGATATTCCATTTTTTCAACAGTAAATCATACCAAGGAAAAAAAAAAGAACCAAACTTTACAGAAAAAGCATATTATATCGTGTACTTGAGTATTTTCATCTTGCTACTTTATACTTGTACTGCACCGTGTTTATCTGACTGACATCTAGTGTAGAGAAAACTACACTGAAGTCTAAAACTCGATGATAACATTTTGCATTTGGATTTAATAGATCCCACAACTTTGTGCAAAACATCTCTCAGCATAATCTGAAAATGTTTCAAAGAGCATTTGTTCATGTTAGGACTGTTTGCCTTACTCAGAGGGGTTGAAGTCAGCCCACTGTGGAGGACAGTACAAGTTTTGACTCATACTGATTTTGTGCTTTGGAATAAAATTTCCACAAAATGCAATATACCCTGAGAAATACATGCTCAGAATAACAATGTGACTAATGACTCTTTCACTCAGTTCTGATTCCATGTTTGTCATTGTCAGAGTGCAGCAGTTCTGGCACATAACCCTCTTTTACAGTTAACTTTAATGGGGTGCTGTTTTAACAATTCGTTAAACAAGTACTTGGAGCAATAAAACACAGAGACCTTAGATTTGTCTTTTCAAACGTGCACGGGTGAGGCCCAAAGGAAACTCACACCGAGTCGCAGGCGTTTCCTTTATTTAACAAGCATAGCAGTTCCTGTTTTTCATGTTCGTGTGTGGGTGCAGTGAGTGTGCTGTTTGTGAGTCAACTTCTGCAAAACTCAGCTTTGTGTGTTAATCTCTTGTGGCACCTTAACAGGTGCCAAAACCCTCAGAATCTGAGTTGTTTTGCCAGATATAAAATATTTATTCATCAGAATGAAAATATGTAAAGAAGTGAAGAAAGATTGAGAAAACTAGATTAGGAAAGAGACTGAAAAGAAAATTAAGAATTATGTTTTTATATTTATCAGGATTTGCAGAAGTCTGGTAGGATTTGTTTCTTGCAACTTAAATCCAAATGGCTCTTACTTAAAATATTACATGTTTGCAGAAAGGTGTGTTCATAGCTCTGTGTGAATGCTTTGTGTGATTTCAGAGAGAGAAAGAGTCCTCGCAAGGAAGAACCATGAAATCATCCTGGACAGTAAAACCATTAGGTTACAGCTGAGTTTAGAACCAGTAAGTCCAGTTTTAAATGTTTAAAACTGATTATTTTCACCATCAACATGTCAGAGTGAAATCCATATCAGCCCCACCTGATCTTAATGACCTTGTAGTACCATATCACCCTATTAGAGCACTTCGCTCTCGCTCTGCAGGCCTACTTGTTGTTCCTAGAGTATTTAAAAGTAGAATGGGAGGCAGAGCCTTCAGTTTTCAGGCCCCTCTTCTGTGGAACCAGCTTCCAGTTTGGATTCAGGAGACAGACACTATCTCTACTTTCAAGATTAGGCTTCAAACTTTCCTTTTTGCTAAAGCATATAGTTAGTGCTGGACCAGGTGACCCTGAATCCTCCCTTAGTTATGCTGCAATAGATGTAGGCTGCTGGGGGATTCCCATGATGCACTGGGTTTTTCTTCTTCACTCACTATGTGTTCATAGACTCTTCCACAGCATGTCTTTATCCTGTTTTTCTTCTCTCTCCCCAACCGAACGCAGCAGATGGCCCCGCCCCTCCCTATATATAAAAAATATATATAAAAATTCCCCTCTCTTCAAGCTTGTAGTAATAATAGGAGCACTCGAGCTGTAGACCTGAAACTGGAAGAGTGACTTAAGCAGATTCCAGGCACAACTTCAAAGGTCTGTGTCCAGTCATGGGAAGAACTAAGCGACAGCAGAGCAGAACTTTCAGACTCTCAGCCCTCTGGTGGAGGACCCGAGCTTAAGCATGACACACATACCACCCCCCAGGGGGTAAGAGGGAGATCCCCTTACTCTACGTGGATCAGTGGTACTATGAATAGTTACACCTCCCAAATTCTGCAAGGAAGAAAAGAACAAACTTTTTGGTTTTGTTTTTTGTGCATCTGTTTTATAAACTCGCACACATCTTCACAACAGTTTTACTTGCTGTGAATTTTTTTTTGAAATGTGACATAGGACACTTTCCTTCCACTCAGAAGATCTGCAGGTAAAATGGTACCATAATCCATAAACTGCTTTCATTCCCACTGAGCTAAATGTCTACAGTATGTCGACAAAAGCAAATGAATCTGATGTAAATCTAATTTCACACTCTACTATTTTTGTATTTTTATTTTATTGTGTGTAATTAAATCCTTATTTTTGTTTTTCTGTTCAGAACTCATCAAGAAGTGTTGATGTTTCAGGTAAAACCTCCTCTCTCTCCTTAGCTGTTTAAGTTTTTATTGTCAGTTATTTATTAACATCTTATTGATATCAAAAAACAAAACAGCCACAAGAACAAAAAAATCACCTTCTTTATGTCCACTCCATGACACCTGTCACCATGTGGTGTAGGGAAAAATGCCAAGTCTTGTTCATTGACAATTCAGTTCAATTCAATTTTATTTATTTAGCGCCAAATCACAACAGTCTCCTCAAGGCGCTTTATATTGTACAGTAGACAAGGCACATCCACTCTAGCATTGTTCATCCCGAAGGTTCCTGCTTCATCAGTATATTTGAGGTTAAATTACTGAAAATTTGTCCTTTTCTCTCAGACTCAGAGTCTCCTCAGAGCACTGCAGTGGTGTTGGAAAACGTCACAGACAACATGTCCACAGAGTTGTTGACCATGCTGGTGGAGATCATCTCTGGGCTGGACGAGAACAGCTTCAGTCTGGAGATCATCAGAGAATCCAACAGAGCTGTGATCACCTTCAACAACTCTGCAGGTAGAAAACAAACACCAAGACTTTCACTCAAACACAAACCCAGTGAGCTGTATTCAAAAGGAACATCATGAAGCCACACTCTGAACTCAGCTTCCATTAACAAGTTTAAACTTTCACTAAACCGTCATGTAAGTTTGAAATGTGGTTGTGGCATTTAGATATCAAGGACTCCATCAGGGTTTCCCTTTGTCACTAATTCTGTTTATAAAATATATGAACACAATTTCTAGTCCTTATGCCCTCCTTGGACATTTCTTCACATTTTTTGAACATTTCTTTTGATATCGTGATCGTTTTGGCTGTGTTCTAGCTTGTTGCATGGATTTTTGCAGGAAGTCTTTTTTTTTTTAGTTAAATTTTTGAAATCGAGTTTCTTTTACTTTAACATGTCTTCCATACACCACTGATGTACAAAATCTACCATAAAATTCTCATATAGTCTTTTGTGCTTGTTTTTCACATACACATCCATACAAATCACTTTTAGGGCTCCTAACCTGGAAAAAACAGATAAATGATGAGATGGACGACAGGTAGTGTACTGTCTCACTTCTGCCAGATCTGAAGACAAGCCATCTCACTAGGGTGGAAGTGCCCCCTTGTGGCGTAACTAGGGATCACACCACATGTTGTCTCCAACAAAATCACAAAATTAAGGCCCTTCTTTAACAAAACTACACCTAAAGACTTATACAATGTACAAAAATTAAATCACATAATGTGACCACACATTACAGTTTGTCACAGAAGGGTGCAAAATTTGAGCAGGGCACAAGAGCTAGGCACCAACAAAAAAGGGTTTCTGGTTTGGGACCTTAAGATCACCTTTGTAGTTTATAGTTTCTAAAGTTTGTTTATTGTTTCAGACTTTATAAGGAAGTATTAGAAACTTAGAAAGTATTTTCTGTGCATAGTTGTGGACTAAATGGGAGTGGAGCCTCTATTTTGTTGTATTTAATACCAGTTTTCAAAGTGTTACATTTAGCGGTCGTCAAGAAGGCCCAACAGTGGCTGTACTTCCTGAGGGTCCTCAGGAAGTACAAGCTGAACTCCAACCTGCTGCTGACCTTCTACCGCTCGTCCATTGAGAGCCTGCTAACCTACTGCATCACAGTATGGTACGGCAGCTGCACCAAAGCAGATAGAGCGAGGCTTCAGAGTGTAATCAAGACAGCACAAAAGATCATCGGCTGCCCTCTCCCCTCCCTGATGGACATGTTGTTGATGTTTGCTGCTCTGCTGCTGCCTCAGCAGAGCAGCAAACATCAACAAGGACAGTTCCCCTGGTTTCAACATGTTCAGTCTGCTTTTACAGGTGCATCAACACAAAGACCCACAGACTCAAAAACAGTCGTTCCCCCCCCACTTCCCTCTATGAACCATCACTGTGCAATACCAAGTTCCATGTGCAATAACCCAACTGTATATACACAACACTATTTATTACATATTGCTTTTTAAAACTGGGTTGTATATTTGTACATTTTATATATTTTTTCTCTGTTAATACTGTTGAATGCATTTATTTATTTATTAATAATGTATTCATCATTCTTAATTTATTCCTGACATTTAGTTTGTTATTTTGTAGTCCAGGCCTTCTTTCTTGTGCCCTGATGAATCAGTGTTTTACAGATGTGCAGAGATTCCTCACTGACAGTAAGACCAGCACAAAGTTTCAGAAACATGGACTGAGCGCTCGGCCGCTGGAGGCAGCAACAAGCGTCCGAGTGGAGAGTTTTCCTCCAACTGTGGTTAAAGGTACTAAAAAACATTTTTTCACCATGATATTGTTAAAGTACGCCTACTTTGCAGATTCTTTTGATAGTAGAGCTTGGGCGGAGACTCAACTCTACAATTCACAAGTTTTATTTTCCATACAGCAAACAGATATATCTGGAGAGGGAAGGGAAGTAAAACTAGAAACACTAAGCTGAAGAACAGACCTTCAAAGTAAAACAGGAAATGCATCAACAGAACTCTAGACATGTAAACTTGACAAAGACTGGGAGACAGAACATAGGAACCTAAAGTCTGGGAGAGAGAGGCACAGAGTAGACAACCTGGAACAAAGGGAAGCCAAATAACAAAATCTAAGAACTATAACCGTAGCAGCCATAACCGAACCTAGGGTAATAATAATAACCACAATACTCAAAACAGCACAAAGGACTGAGAACATAAATCATAATATAAAATACTAAAACACAAGAAACTCAAAATGCTGGGTCACCTTTCAACAAAATCAGAGAAACTCACTGCTCTGGGCTCTTGACCTTTAGAATTTAGAGAATTCAACTTTGCTGGGCCTCTAACCCTTTCCAAATGATTTTAGAGATTATTATTTCTCATGGCTCTTCACCTTAAAGAATTTAGGGAGCACTTCTCAGGGCCTCTAACCCTTTTAGTAGAATTTGGGGATCCTGATCTCCGCAGGCCTCAAACCCAGCTCACCGGAGCTCTAATCCGGTGTTCTAGAGTATAGGGTTTGCTGCGGCCCCTACTCACAGGAAGTTACCCTCCTACCTATAAACATTCTCCTCTTCCGGGAGGAGCAATGAGTGAATCGCTCCCAGCTGGCAGTGGAAACTTACTGTTTGTACTCTCTAATCTTGCCCTACCGTCGCCCCAGCCAATTGTCGTCACATGCAGAACATCTTATCTTCTGTGCGAGGACTGTCTATCCCTTTTCTCTGTTATTCTAAGCAGTCTATCACTCTTCTACTTCTAACAATTACACAAGCGTGGCCTACAGGAAAGCGGGGAGTTTGGTTTATCACTTGAGAGATTCTGTCCCCAGCCTCCTATGGACATGGTTATAGGATTCTGAGACGGGTTAAAATCCCTGTGGACTTTAAATTTGGACCACATCATTGCATAAGGCTCTCTCATGGGATGTGGAGACCAATATTGCACCACGTTTCCCCAGTCGGAGCAAAGATGATTAAATGGTGTGCTCCCCCCGTTTAAACACTCACTGTTGACCGCAGGCGAGTAGCATGCCCAAACATTAAATCCTCGCCACAAACTATCCTGGCCTTTACAATTTATTACTTCACAGAGATCAAATGTGAAGCCCGTGGTGGAGCCTTTAACGTACTCCACCTCAATCCTGCCATAATAAGATAAACAGTCATCTTTCTTTCTCACTTCTCTATACTTCTTACTCATGTATTTCTGTGTGATGCTTAATCCTCCACAAAGACCTTAAGAAAAAAATATTAGCCAGTTTGTGCCCTTTAGATCAGGTCTGGACAAACCTCTTCTAGAAACGGCTGCAACAAGATCTTGTGATTAACCATCCGCTGCTGTGAAATAAGTGATACTGGGTCTAACACAGCACATTCTTCAACTGTGACATTTGGTGTTTTCAACAATACCATGTGGCATCATAAGCAACAAATACCTTGCAAATACATTGTTTTTTTCCTACAAGAATCAGTAGCACAGAAAGTGGCAGCTGAAGGGTTAGGTCTGCACAGCCCACAAGTCCTCCCATCTCTGGTCACTGTTATTCCCCTGCTCCTATAAAAATACATAACAAAACACATATAATAATAATAATAATGGACTGCATTTATATAGCGCTTTTCTAGACACTCAAAGCGCTTTACAATTCCACTATTCATTCACTCTCACATTCACCCACTGGTGGAGGCAGCTACAGTTGTAGCCACAGCTGCCCTGGGGCAGACTGACAGAAGCGAGG